AAGTAGAATCCTGATCAGATTGTAGCTCAGTTGGTCATTCAGGTCATTCATTTGGGTTGTCATAACCATAACTGTAGGGATATACTGATGTCCTGCTTTCATTTTTAGTAATGGCCCCTCACAATCTACAAACAGTCAACTGAATGATTCTTCAAAAGCTGGTATAAGTATCAAAGGTTCTGGTTTAATTATTTGTTGAAGTTTACCGAGTACTGATATGTTTTACAGAAGATCAGGTTCTTATGAATTCTTGGCCATGTAAAATATCTGTTTATAAATGCTTGCATTGTTTGTATTCCCACATGACCCTCCATAGGAATTTCATAAGCTACTCACAATATCTAGCCGGTACACTACTTTACGAGCACTGTATATTCTTAGTGCACAAGTCTGTAAAGGTGACCCCAATTCTTCTTCAGAACTTAATTTTCAATAACAATGATGTGGAGTGCTGGTGTTGGACGGGGTTGATAGTTACTTCAAAGGAATTCGGGGATATACATACACATATTAATCAATTAAAACCTTCCAACTGATTAAAGATTTAACAGCATCTTACGTCTGTTCAGAACGTCCTCATCAGGGGTATGACCCTTTGATCTTTTACTTATCTCAAAGAATCCCTACAGTGTGGAAACAGGCCCTTTGGCCCAACAAGTCCACACAGGCCCTCAGAGCAACCCACCCAGACAGAACCCTATAACCCACCTAATCTACACATCCCTGAATACTATGGGCAATTTATCATAGCCAATCCACCTAACCTACACATCTTTGGACTGTGGGAGGAAACCGGAGCACCTGGAGGAAACCCACGCAGACACTGGGAGAACGTGCAAACTCAACACAGCCCAAGGGTGGAATTGAATCCAGGTCCGTGTTGCTGTGAGGCAGTAGTGCTAACCACTGAGCGACTGTGCCACCCTGTGTCTGATAGTACCTCTCTCACTAACACCTGAAGAAGGAGAAAAACTCCAAAAGGCCAAGCAGCATCATAGGAGCAGAGAGGCTGACGTTTCGGGCCTAGACCCTTCATCAGAAAAGGGGGAGGGGAAGGGGGTTTTGAAATAAATAGGGAGAGAGTGGGAGGCGGATAGAAGAGGGATAGAGGAGAGGATAGGTGGAGAGGAAACAAACAGGTCGAAGAGGCGGGGATGGAGCCAGTAAAGTTGAGTGTAGGTAGGGAGTTAGGAAGGGGATAGGTCAGTCCAGGGAGGACGGACAGGTCAAGGGGGCGGGATGAGGTTGGTCGGTAGGAGATGGAGGTGCGGCTTGAGGTGGGAGGAGGGGATAGGTGGGAGGAAGAACAGGTTAGGGAGGCAGGGACGAGCTGGACTGGTTTTGGGATGCGGTAGGGGGAGGGGAGATTTTGAAACTTGTG